CTGTTCTGGAATTCCAATGACACATAGGTTATTCCTTTTGATGGTATCCTACATGAACCTTAGACTTTTCTTCATTTTGTTTTGATCTTTTTTTCTGATTGATCCCTTTCCAAAGAAGTATTCAGGTATTTGTCTTCAATCTCATTAATTCTGTCTTCCATTGCATCACTTCTTCTCCTTTCAATGTGTGTATCTTATATTTAGCTGTATCTTGGAAGTGAAGAAATAGAAAAGTGGTATTTTGGTATCTTATGTTTTCTTTAAGTGGTTAAGTTCCAAGGAAGACAAATGAGTGAAGCTTCTCTGATTGTGAGGAACAGACATCCCCTCAGACTGCCTTAAGGAGAAGGAGTTTTTTCCTAGAGATAAGAAGCAACTTAATTTAGAAACCCATATAAGATCTGAGGCACTTCTTTAAACCAGCTTTGGTGTCTGTTTCTCCTTCATGGCCTACATAGTCCATTTTTCTTTGCCTCTCTGCTCTGTGCTTTCATGGCCAATCATTTCTCTTTGCCCCAGTCCAGTTCAGGAAAGAACCATTTTGAAAGGTTTAACTAATTATAATCAGCATTGTCCTTTGTCCCAGGCCAACTTATAGCTAGGTTATGGTCTTTTGGTCAGGTCCTGATCAGTAATGCCATCAGTGGTCATCCTTGCACAAAAAAAGGTCCTGATGCTACTTCCTTGTGGGGAAGGGGACTGGGGCATGACAAGCATTCTCATTAAGTAGATTCAGGACTTCAAGAGTCACTTTTTACCAGTTAATCAAGAGGACAAATCCAAGAAATAACATAATTCTTAACTATGATGTACTTCTTATGTGAGACTAGATGGCCAGGAAATAGGATAGAAGGAAGTTGGGGTGGTATAGGAGGTGATTAGGGGTACATTTCAGATTTTCTTCACGTATAGTTCCTAACTGTATTGAAAGAGTAGGAGATCGACGGGCAATCCAGTGAAGCAGAGGGAACAATGAAACTTTACCACAAGTAAAGTTATATAAATTATGAAATTTTAAAGTGGACTCTACATTTTATAAACTCAGCAGTTTGCAACATGTTTATTACACTTTGATATGCCAAACAAACTTTTCTGTAACAAGTTAATCAATGGGTATACTTTTGCCATTTTTTCCTTGTGAAATTTTACCATACAACTCTTGAGATATTCAGCTCTAACACAGACAAGTGTATTGATAGTTCTCATTCTTTTATGAGTGATGAACATACAGTACTACTTCTGTGGGCCTGTGTGCCCTAGAGATGACTGTAACCTGCTATTGATCAGCTGATTGAAGATAAATGGCTTAGCTGCTTGTATTGCAGATTACATCATTAACATGGTCAGTAAACCATGAATTGTTCAATAAGACGTTTATCTTTTTTCATTTGACTTCTGCTCTTTTATCATTTTTATTATAAAGGACACAATCACCCACACTAACCAGAAAGATCAGATGAAAAGAGATCTAGTAGGGTACCATTGTGGGTGCAGAGTGCACACAGCTGAGTTCTGATGGTTTAATGATACTTAGTCTGTATATGCATTTGAACTGAAGAAAATACAAAGTTTTAGTAATCTTTTTTTCCCCTGTGTTCTTCTTACAGCTTCCTTTTGCCTCATATTTACTAGAAGCAGTACTAGAGAAAATAAATGGAAAAAAGAAACTAATGGAAGAGTATTTCACAATTATGAAGGATCTGAGATGACAGTACAATGAAGGGCTTTTTGCAAATGTGAAAACTTTATGTTGTGTGATTGGAAAAACATGCATTGTAATCCTGATACAATATCTGCTCCAACTATCAATAGTCAGGTTCGATACCAAAATAAGAAGTCTCTGAAACTAATTAATTGCTGAACAAGTGAAACTAATTAAGTGCACAGCCATTTAAAAAGAAATAGTGTAGCATTTGATTGTTGAATACAAATATTGCCACAAATCAATGCAATCTTAAAAATGATTTTCCTTTCAGAGCATTAGAAGAAGCTTGAACAAGCCTGGCACACACAGATTGGTCTGGTCTAAAAAGAAAAAAAATGTCAACTGAGCATTTAATGTTTTAAGTTTGACAAACAATCTAAATTTTTTACATGAAACTGCTATAATTTGCCTTAAAATCCTATGAGCAACACATTTATATGGAAACAAACAAAATGAAGCATAACTTGAGCATTTAATAAAACAAGTGTGGTCCAATTGTATCTGTTCTCATTGATATACTGAATTATATAGAAGATGGTGTATTTTCCTACAACTATTTGGCAAAAATAAAAACGTTTTTTCTCTTTTTTTTAATTCTCAGCACTTTGTGGAGTTGTGTGAGTTAGCAAGGGGTCACAAACCCAGTGTATAAAATTAAATTAGAATGAAAAGAACTCATACTGTGGTCAACTAATTAAAGTTAATATATTATCAAGCGTGTCATACTTATTTAGATCCTTGAATGTAGTAGTCATACTCTCACCTCTGCATTATGCCACATCTGTCTTTTTGTTCCACCAATTCACCAAGATTATTTCAGCCTCCAGTTTTTGCCCTTTCTAGAACTTTCCTGCACTTAACTTTTCTCAGGGCTGGCTATTTCTCATCATTCAGGTTCAGATTACACCTTCCCGGAGAGAAAAATTCCCTGGCCACCTTACTATTTCCTTTCTAAAACAAAATTACCTAGTTTATTTTTCAAAATTATCTAGTTTATTTTCTTGTTTATTGTCATTTTTCCCTCCCTACCCTTTAGAATGTAGGTCTCATAAGATTAAGGCAAATCAAACTCATTGCTGTCAAGTCGATTCAGACTCACAGTGACTGTTTTGATCTTCTGTGTCACTCTAACAGAAAATACTACAAGTGGATGGCTTGAACAAATGGGTTTATTCTCTTACAGTTTAGGAGGCTGGCAGTCTGAGTTCAAAGTGGCAGCACTGCAGGCTGGTGAAAGCCCCTTGACCTTGGGCTTCAGCTCTGCATCTTGCTCCCAGCCCACTGAAGTGGGAGACTTCTCTTAATTCAGAGCACTGCTGGCTGCTGAGGCTGACAAACCCAAGGTTGACCAAAAAAAAAAAAAAAAAAAAAAAAAGGCACAGTCCCCTAACTATCAAGCAACACAGGAGGCTGCTAGTTCAAGTCCAGAAACAGTCTCAGATTGGCAGACAACATGGCAGGCCACTGAGATAAAGACTTAGCCAAATGCAGGATCCAGATGGGCCAAAAAGCTTGAAGCCTTTCTCAGAGCTGCTTCTTAGATACTGGAAGCAAACCACATCTCTAGCTCACAGCAATAGATTCTACCATGGAGCCGATTCCTAGTCTCATCGTAGGGAATAACCACATCCAGTTACCCAGCTACTCAAAATCAGGCCAAGTTGACACATAACTACCACAGCAACCCATATGACCTGCCACCTTTTTGTATATGGTCCACAAGCTAAGAATAGTTTTTATGTTACTAAATGTTTGAAAAAATTCAAAAGAAGAATAACATCTTGTGACACGTGAAAACTATATGTAATTCAAATTTCAATATCCACAAATAAAGCTTTATTTTTGGAACACAGCCATGCTTATTTATGTAGTGTTCATGGTTCACTCTACAGCGGCAGAGTTGTGACAGACCATACAAGGTGCTTCTTATTACTTTTCTCTAGTGCTTGGCACACTGCAAATTATAGTGGATAGATAATTTTAGAGTATTTTGAGTGCCACAAATATTTCCATAGTACAATTAAAAAAAATAATGAAACCAGTACATACCCATCAAATCAAAAGAAAATGTCACACAATATGGATTGTTTTGTCATTAAATTAGTTGGCAAAGCATTGTGTTTACAATGACTCTATTCCTGTGCTAAAAGACTACGGTATATGTCAGTATTACTGGACTAAAAACTCATCACGATACCCCCAACTTGCAAGAAAATAACATGTAAAATTACAGAATTTAAACAGGAATAACTCATCACAGCAGAATTTCATTACAGAGATAAAAATGAAACTGCACAGTAATTACACTAATGCCAAAATCAAACATTAGTACGAAAAAAAAAAGACTGTGGTAGGTTGAATAATGGTCTTTTCCCCCTCCTAGATGTCTGTGCCTTAATCCCTGGAACCTGTGAATATGTTGTTATATGGCAAAAAGGACTCTGGAAGTGTGATTAAGCCAAGGAACTTGGGATGGAGAGCTGATTCTGAGCTATCATGAAGGGCCTGTTGTCATCATAAGGGATACAGAAGGGGTCAGACGGAAAGTGATAACAAAAGCAGCAAGATATACAAAGAGATTGAAGATGCTGTACAACGTGATGTCCTCCTCCAATGACTGATCCTTCCTGACAACATGTCAGAAGCAAGCCAGTCGGATAGTGTTCTGTTATGATCAATAAGGTCTCCATTGGCTAATTTTCAGAAGCAGTCACAGGCCTTCCTTCCCAGTCTGTCTTAGTCTGGAAGCTCCACTGAAACCTGTCCACCATGGGCGACCCAGCTGCTATTCGAAATACCAGTGGCACAGCTTCCAGCCTCACAGCAACACACAAGCCACCACAGTATGACCAACTGACAGACGAGCGGTGGCTTATACTAATTTATTTTCAGTCATTGTGCAGGAGTTTGCCTAGTAGCAAACCTAGTAGCAAAATGATTCTTGGATTTATAGAGGCCAAATTTGACAATTATTGTAAAGAAATGTATAGCCACAATGGGAAAGACTTTCTGGGTGTCCTCAAATAACTAAAACTCACCTGAAGAGATGAGTAACACAAGACATTTTGAGAGAGCCATTTAACTATCCTAGATGTCAGTGTTCAAATGTGCTCATGAGATAAGCAGACAAAAGAGCTGCTCTTTTAAATTCCTACATTCCTGCACGTGTAACTGCCTTTGGTAGTAGCATAAAATTTGCATAGGAGATTTACTATAACATAATAGAATAAAAATGAGTTATTTTCTTGCCTGTGTCATGAAAGGATTTGTGTATATGTGTGTGTGTGTGTGTGTGTGTGTATAAATATAAATGTCTGTTGGCTTAGCTTTCAATTTTTAAGTATACAAACACACATTTGATTTTTAAATGCCCCCCCCCTCCATTTATTAGGAAAAGACAAGCACTGCTAAGATGCCGCCTGCACAGCGCAGGCCTCAATCAAAACAATACTCTCTCTCTCAAACAGGGCAATACAGAAGGTCCACAAAACCACAATCTCAACATTAGCTTCTTTCAAACACTTTTGCCACATTCTGCTTTCTCCTTTCTCCCTGGATATCATCGTTGAGAATTGAAAAGAAGGTGGTACCCTATGCCTTTTATATTCAAGGCTTGTGAGGGGGAAATGTGACTCTGTTAGATTCTGGCATGAGGAACTCACATGTAATTAAAGGAGTATTAGACTTCCTTTGGCTTGTGTTCTGTCCAACTCTGAGTGTAGAAAAATGATTGTAGGCATCATTAGATTTTGGAGACAGCACATGCCTCACTTGGAAATACTTCTCTGGCCCTTGTATTGGGTGACTCTGAAGACCCAGAACAAGAGAGGACTGTACAACAGTGGTTTGGACTGTGGTATAAACAGGTCTCCCTCCTGAATCAGTAATCCAGTGTATCCTGGGTGCTAGAGCTGGTGGTTTTTAGCTCCATTGAGTCAGCTCCAACTCATGGTAGCTTTATGTATAACAGAACAAAACATTCCTGGTCTCATGCAATCCTCATGGTCATTGGTATACTGTGTCCACTGTTCTGGCTATTGTGTCATCCATCTCATTGAGAGTTTTCCTCTGTTTTGCTGACACTCTCCTCTACCAACTATGGTGTCCTTTTCTAGCAATTGGTCTTTCCTGATGATGTCTCCAAACTGAGTGAACCACAGTCACTGTCTTCACTTTTAAAGAGCATTCTGGTTGTATTTCTTTGAAGACTAATTTGTTCATTCTTCTGGCAGTCCACATTATATTCAATATTCTTTGCCAACAATTTTAACACCATCAATTCTTCTGTCTTCCTTTCTTACTGTCCAGCTTTCTCATCTCCATAGTAAATACAGATGCTGTGAGAATGCTCTCTGACAACAGTAAGGAGAGTGATGGTGCAGACGTCGAGGCTTCTGGAGCAAGGCTATGCTGTCTGCATCAGGAAACTACCCCCATTCAAAAGGCTACTGAGTGCCTGACAATGGGACCAGAACAGAGTGACCCACCTTGAGCTGGGTATTGTCAGACTCGCTAAGTGAAACATCATCAGGATGGTATCCTCTTTTGCAAAAGATTCATATATTTATGAATGTAAATTCATCCGTTTACCTGAGCTGTTTGATTGTTTTTTAATTATCACAAAGGAGCAAATTAGCTGCCAATAGAGTTTTACAAACTAGGGTCCTATGATGTATACTTCAGTGAACAGAAATTGTTTTATATGTAAATTGTATGCAAACAATTTGTTGAATGTATTTTGTCCATTGTCTCTTTATTTTTTTTCTTTCTCTGAAATCTTCTCTTTACCTTAAAATTATATATATATTTAAACTCCTTCTATATTCCTTCTGGTCCTGGTTATATAGCTTTTTCTAAATATGTTGATTTTAATCCATCTTATTTTATTTTTTATTTTTATTGTGGTTTAGGTGAAAGTTTACAGAGCAAATTCACTTTCCATACAGCAGCTCAAATACACTCTCATGACATTGACTACAATTGAATAACTCCCCTCCCACTTCATCTCCATAGTTATCTCTTCCCTGTGTCCTTCCCTCCATGCACTCCTGCCTCCTGAGCTGTCTCCCTGTGCACACACAGCCCTTCTGTTGTCCCATGATTGTTCTCTTCAAGGAGTGTATCTACCTAATGTAAATGTTCAGCTCATATGCCTGTCTTTTGTTTGTCTGGAAGCCACAGAAGTGAGTTCAGTTCCAGACCTGAAGGGCAGCTAGTGGCCATAGTCTCTGGGGTTTTACCAGGCTCTATCAGACTAGCAAACATGGTCCCTTTTTATTTATGATTTTGAGTGTTGTTCCACATTATTCTCCCTCTCTATCCACAACCTTCTACATAGGTTCCCCACCGAGTGGTTGATAGTGGTAGCTGGGCACCATACAGTTCTTCTGGTCTCACAGTCATATAAGCTGAGGATTGCATGGGGTACCAGTCACTTGGACTAATTGTTTCCATGCGTCTCTGCTTTTCTTCATTCTTCTTTGTTCTGGATGAGGAGAGGCCCATCATTGCATCTAGATGGCCACTTGCAAGCTTTTAAAATGCCAGTTGCTACTCACCAAAGTAGGATGTGGAACAATGTTTTGTGTAGTATGTTATGCCAACTGAGCTTGACGTCTCCTGCAACTATGGTCCCAAGCCCACAGGTTCAACTACCTGCTCCCTCTGGGTAGCTGGCTGCGGCCAACAAGTGACTACAACCGTGTCCCTTGTCAGCTCTACTATATACCTGGGAATTCTTACAGAACATACAAATACACTTGTGGAAATGTTGTCTGCCAACCATATACATGGTCTTGGGCATACTGTCCCCCTGCATAGACGTACCTAATAGTTCAGCATGTCCACCCATCTATCCACCCGTATATCCACATTTGCCATCACTGACAATGCAGTACGCTATGTGCAAAAGGGTTCATCTTTGCTGTCTGTACCTCCCATGCACCTCTCTCTGTTTTTCACTTCCTCAGTGCCACCTTGTTGATCACCCAAATTTGGTATGTTGCCCTTCTCTTCACCCAAATCAATACATGTCTCTAACAGTATTCCCTCCCCTCCCACCTC